AAACTGTGTTATAAAGAATCTTTAGACCCTCTGGGATAATCCAGTCCAGATTTGATGAGTGTAGGTCTAGTGGTTTTAGATCAGGACCTGGTCTAATGTGGTCTACATGTGAAAAAAGCACTGAAATCTCCCTTTTTTGTATTTTCACAAATAGAATAAAGGTTTCACAAATCTGAAACTGTGTTATAAAGAATCTTTAGACCCTCTGGGATAATCCAGTCCAGATTTGATGAGTGTAGGTCTAGTGGTTTTAGATCAGGACCTGGTCTAATGTGGTCAGGATGCGAAAAAAGCACTGAAATCTCCCTTGTTTGTATTTTCACAAATAGAATAAAGGTTTCACAAATCTGAAACTGTGTTATAAAGAATCTTTAGACCCTCTGGGATAATCCAGTCCAGATTTGATGAGTCTAGGTCTAGTGGTTTTAGATCAGGACCTGGTCTAATGTGGTCAGGATGCGAAAAAAGCACTGAAATCTCCCTTGTTTGTATTTTCACAAATAGAATAAAGGTTTCACAAATCTGAAACTGTGTTATAAAGAATCTTTTGACCCTCTGGGATAATCCAGTCCAGATTTGATGAGTCTAGGTCTAGTGGTTTTAGATCAGGACCTGGTCTAATGTGGTCAGGATGCGAAAAAAGCACTGAAATCTCCCTTGTTTGTATTTTCACAAATAGAATAAAGGTTTCACAAATCTGAAACTGTGTTATAAAGAATCTTTAGACCCTCTGGGATAATCCAGTCCAGATTTGATGAGTGTAGGTCTAGTGGTTTTAGATCAGGACCTGGTCTAATGTGGTCTACATGTGAAAAAAGCACTGAAATCTCCCTTTTTTGTATTTTCACAAATAGAATAAAGGTTTCACAAATCTCAAACTGGGTTATAAATAATCTTTAGACTCTCTGGGATAATCCAGTCCAAATAAATCGGCTATGCAGCGATTTAAGAGGTACAAACACGGAGGATTGTTCGCTCAGCGCTGTAAATTAAATGTCCCTTAACTTTCCCCTTAACTGCCGAATCGGATGCTCTGAATCGGAAGCCAACTTCAGCGTCGTACACTTGATGAACGTTCAAATAAGAACATCTAAGCTATATTTAACTTCAGACACGTTAGGACACAGACCTTGACAGTTTGCATAATCTGACAGAGGCGCCCTCAGGTTGTTGTAACGTTAACGAGTTTTTAATGCGTGTTTAAATGTTGAGGTCTAATAAAAAGTAGCACCATGTCAACCAACAGTTATTCCCCGAATGAAATAGTATCAATCGCCACAGCCAACATGATGTTGCCCTTCACCACAGTGACAAGTGACTTTGGCCTGAAGGCGACATGTTAACACTGGCTCGTTAGCAAGTCATCAAAAAGAATGGAACTAGCAAAATGAATTATTTGCCAAGCAGTCCATAACATGAGAGGAAGCATGACAGTGGTCGTGTCTCACCGCTGCCCAGTCCCCGGAGTGCCCTTCCAACGCGCAGAGCTCTCAGCAGCGCCGCCATATTCCGTTGAGCTGAGAGGGTTGTCAATGTTTATTTTAAATAACAACCGCGTCATCTTTGCGCGACTGTTGTGATATAAACACGAATCAAGCTGGCAACCATGTGAAAAAAACAAGAATGCTGTCTTCAGTCTAAAACGCATTAAACATACATTTATACATGTATGGAAATGTAACAATATAAAATGCAGTTCAGAATTTATTTGGTGTCTGAATAACTTAATTTCACTCTTAAAATCATTCCCACTGCGGTTTTCCCGTAGAATCTCTCTCAATGGCCAACCGATAACGATATATTATTTTGAAAAGTCAAACCGGAAACGCACTCTTATTGTGTAACTTGACATTGCAACTTCTATCAAGAGACGAACGGTAAGTAACATGATACTCGAGTGTAATGCTCAGTTATTTAATAACCACATTATTTTCAGAACAATGATATTATTATATTGGTATATGTTGTTCATGGGCAGCCGTATACTGTGCTCTCCATGCTAAGGACGTGCTCCTGGACTTAATGAGCACCGGCGTTTTCTGCGTCACGCTGTTTCTCGATGTTTGCTAACGTGCTATTACCTGAATCCACCTCTACACACACAGGCTGACCTGCTAGCTAACAGTTAGCCAGCTGGCCTTTTGACATTTTAATTCAAGAGGTGGATAAAACAACCATTAATTCAATAATGTAAAAACGACATAGAGGAAACACTTTGGCTAGAGAGAACCTGCCAGACAATTTCACCGTTTGTGAATGATTTAATTTAATACAATTGCTTTTGAAAATAATGTAACACTATTTATTATAACAATTGACTATCTGCTCTGGTATTATGATAAAACAATTATCTCAAGGTCATACTTGTTGGGAATTATTCTTTCTCTTTATAACTTGTTGAGGTGTGGGTAAAAGCTATTACATTTATGGGTTATTCAGATTATTCCTATTATTATACTAATACAACTACCTGTTGGTCTGGCTGTACTATCTCTGCAGTGACACACAGACACGTGTCTTCACTGTTAGATTATCCACAACTAGACAGAGAAGCCAGTGTTTTTGTGTTGTAATCACTTAAATGAGTGCTTCTCTCCAGACAGATGATGGCAGACCTGGGCATGAGAGCAGGAGACAGGGTGATGCTGGTGTGGGCTCAGCCCTCAGACCCAGCCGCCCTGAAACAGCAGGCGGAGGAGCTGGGGGCCATCGTAGGTGCAGACAAAGTGTCAGTGGAGAACATGGAGAGATTACTGATGTGTGAGTAACACTACGATTTTAAATTACACGAGGCAAGGTTGTTATTTAAAAAAACTACTTCATCATGATGGCACTGCAGATGCCTCTGATTCACGGTTTACTTTCCTCTACTAAATTGTAATTTGTAAGACATTTTTGTAAACTCCACTTAATTTAGTTCAGTTTCCAGATCACATATTCAGATTATTAGCTAAAACAAAATATAAATCAATTTATACTATATATATATATATATCCTCGGTCCTCCGGTAGTGACCCGGAAATTAATTTCGGCGCGCCATGTTGAAGGACATCTAATTTCTCTAAATGCACTTCGAGGACCGAGGATCGAGGCTCTCTGGAGGAGCTCTAACCAAGGAGAGAGGAGAGAGGAAGCTCTTTGGAGGAGCTATAACCGAGGATACACTGATGGGTCCTTCGCGGATGCATTTCCGGGAACAGAGATGTTTCAAAGAGTCGTGACGCACGGCCGGACTTATCTCAGCCAATGACAGCTCTGCATGCATCCCCTGGATATTATTTTAGTAACTGCTTTCATCGCGACGCGATGTTTACTTTACAGTGAGAACAGCTGTGAGGTCCGTGCAGAAAGCAGAGCAGTGTGTATAATATATATCACTCAGTATAATAGGCCTTCTCTCTTTATTTGCTTTAGTTTAGTAGATAAAACCCAAAGAAGAAGAAGAAGAAGTGATGTCAGTGGCTTCATTTGCCTAATCCTCCCCCAGGGACTTATTCCGGTGTGAACGCGATCTGCTCTTAGTTCATGAGAACTCTTTAGTTCTCACGAACTAAGTCCTGAAGAACCATTGTGGGAAAAGTACTGCGGTGTGAAAGCGCCTAATGCGAGGATAATAAAATGGCGGCTTCACAAAAGTTTTTGGGAGTTTTATGGGGCGTGGTTTGCAATCTGCCCAGCCAATCCGAAATAGGAACCTTTTTCTCCCGCGAAAGGGACGGAAAAAAAGGTAAAAAGTTTCTCATGAACTAATTTTAGTTCCGGATTTTTTTGGTGTGAACGCAACATTTCGGAACTAAAGTGGGAAAAGTACTGCGGTGTGAAGGGGACAGGTAATAACCGGAAAAGCATGACATGGGCCCTTTAACTAAAGTAAGATTTCGAATGCAGGACTTTCACTTTGTATTATTGCTATTTATTATTGCTATGTATTATTTTTACTATGTATTATTGATACTTTCGATCAAGTAGTAGATCTCAGTGTTTCATCCACTGTTGATTCAGCCTGTAGGCATGAACACAGTTCTGTCAGAAGTGAGTAAATGGGTGTAAAATGCTCCTCTCCTCTCTCTCAGCCTCCCACTCAGCGTCCTCCTTTGACTGGGTGCTCTCTGGCCTCGTGGCAGACAGCTCCTCCATCCACAGCTCAGAGACTCTGGCAGAAATTGCCAAAGTGCTAAAACCAGGAGGGAAGCTCATCCTTGAGGAAGTACTAACAGGTGAACGGTTGTTCTTACTTCTTTTCTAGATGTTTGACGGCTGAAAAGTATGAAAAATTTAGTGATATGCATCTTGATGCCTGTAAAATGGCAAAGTACACTAATAATGATTCACAGCATTATGTTTAACACTGATAAAATGCATACAATATTTACATTTCACTTAGTATTGTTTATCCATGAATGTTGTCTCTTTCATGTGTCATATGTCTTTATCCACAAGGGCACTGTGAGGCTTTGGCTCTGATTGTGCGACAGTGTGTGTGACTCGTTTCTCTGTGTTCCAGGAGCTGAGGCCCAGAGTGTGAGGACAGCTGACAGACTCATGTCCGCCCTGAAGTTGTCGGGCTTCATGTCGGTTACACAGGTGCATGATAGCGTTCACATACAAACAGCATGAGTATGTGGTTGTGGCAACACCTCTGAAATGTGATCAGGAGAAAGATGGATGGTTAAAGCCATCAAACAAAGCAGAGCTGTTTTAATTTTTGTTCCAGAAGATCCTGTTTTGCATGTTAGTATTCTGGGCATATGTGTATGTCATATGTAAAAGAATATATAAATGGTACATTGAATTTTCTCTGAGTGGTCTTTTAACTTTGGTTTCTTCTTTCTTTTCGGTAATCATCCACACCAGTGTTTCCTCTCTGTCCTGTTCACCCTTCTTCCTCTCCCTCCAGGTGAGTGAAGCAACTCTGAGTCCTGAGGCGCTGACCTCTCTCAGGACGGCCACTGGTTACCAAGGAAACACTCTGTCTAAAGTCAGAGTTTCTGCCTCTAAACCTAACTTTGAGGTTGGATCCTCCAGCCAGCTTAAACTGTCCTTTGGCAAAAAGCCAGGTGGGTTTAAAGCGCAGTGTTCATGTATTTCCATAGCACATTTCTTTCTACAACTGTTAATTAAATTTAAGGAGACTCTTTCTGTTGAGACGTTTGTTCTTCTGTCATATGGGACACCTTTTATAAAGGGTATGATAAAATAACAAAATATGTCTCGACATTTGAACATTCAATCTGCATTTAAGGGTTTTCGAAGTACCAAAATATAATTTGAGATTATTTACAGAACATTTGTGAACAAATATCAAGGTTTCTTATTTGTTTAGTTTTGAACATCAGTATGTCTGAATATATTTTATATGGTATTATGTAAAGTCCTATAGCATGTTTACTGATGTAACTCATGGGCACAAATGTCTGTGATTCAGCAGAGAAACCTGCTCTGGATCCCAACACCGTCAAAATGTGGAACCTCTCAGCCAATGACATGGACGATGACGATGTGGTGGGTTCCTGATGTATTATTTTAATAGCCACAAAAGTATATTTCTCCTTCAGCCCACTTTTCTGAGTTCTTCACGTCTCCTTTGTTTCTCTTCTAGGATCTGGTGGACTCGGATGCTCTGCTGGATGAAGATGACATGAAGAAGCCAGACCCAGCTTCTCTTAAAGCAACCAGCTGTGGAGGAGAGGCTAAGAAGAAAGCCTGCAAGAACTGGTGAGGCCATCACACAAATGTTTCTGAGTGTTAAAAATCCAACAAATTGTTTTTGTCAGCTAGGTTTTTTTCTTACAAATGTGTTATTTGAAAAGCATTTAAGCATTACATGACACACAATCTGTTGTATTTTGTTGGGTAGCACATGTGGTCTTGCAGAGGAGTTGGAGCAGGAGAGTAAAGGAAAACAAACGACCAACCTCCCAAAATCTGCCTGTGGAAGTGTGAGTGTCTTCTGATTTTATATCACCAAATTCTCACCATGTTTACTCATATTTATTCTCCTATTACCTGTTAACAGTGTAAACAATAATAGTGACAATGATCTTTATTCCTACTTGTGGCAGTGTTACCTTGGTGATGCGTTCCGATGTGCCAGCTGTCCCTACGTGGGGATGCCAGCGTTCAAACCAGGAGAAAAGATCGTGCTGGACAACAAGACGCTGACCGATGCTTAAACCCCCCCCCCCACTCGAGACTCATTCCTTACTTTTCTCTTCCAGCCTGAGACCCGATTCCCTCCCCCCAGAGTTCAGAGCTTTTTCGGTCCTTGCAGATGTGATGGGTGATTTTGCCCGTCTGTCTGCTTAGTGAGATGGCTTCAGTTTGGTGCGTTAAGAGTCAACAACATCATCCTTTTTTCTTCAGTGACTCACCACCAGACTGTGCTGCCCTCAAGTATAAACTATTTCAAGCCACGTCTGAGTTTCTTAATTTGAGAGTATTGCCATGAAGGATGAGCTTTAAAATAAATGAAAATAATGCACTGTCAAGTACTGTTGTTAATTATGCAAATGATGGTGAGCTAGGCTGGTTCTAGTATGTGAAAGCACTGAATACATTTATTTTCCCTTGAAGTTCTTTAAAGGGCCCATGTTATGCTTTTCCAGTTATTACCCGTCCCCTTGTGTGTTATGAAGGTTTTTATGCATGTAAACGGTCTGCAGAGTCAAAAACCCTCAAAGTACACCCTGTAGCGAGTAAAACTAACACAGAAAAGAGCTGTCTATGCTGCCCCAGAACGCCTCGTCGGAGATTTCTCATTTTCCATTGTTTTCTTACTGGGTTCTGTGAGGTGTGAATACCCAAATCAACAACAAATGAACGGATTGGCCCAAATTGACCGCGGAGCTCCTCACACACCAGGATCCCTTGGCTAACTAACAGGGAGTCCCCATTGACTCCCTGAACGCTGGTAATAGAAGAGTTGGGATCGCGGAGAAATGCTCTCCGCAGACCCATGCTCACAGCGTTATAAACCTTTTTCTTACTCAATATCAAGCCACACTTATTGTTTTTACTTCGGCTGTGAGTGTTTGTGTGTGCTCAGGATGAGTTTGACTGTGTCTCTCTGTATCGCCGACCCGGAAACCTCCTCGCAGCAGCAACGTCCCGACCAATCAGAGCACACTGGGCTCACAGGGAGGGGGGTATACATGTATACACATACTATACAGAGATGCTGTATGAGAAACCAATATGATTTTGGAAAATTGCACAAAAAAATCTTGACCAATGACATATTTAGAGTATAAGATGAAAGCTGCATTATGTTCACCAGTTTATAATGAATAATACAAAAATAACTGTTGAATTTAAAGTGGAACTATCATGCTATATCTGAATAATATATTGTAGGGCCATACCTATATAAAACATGTCTGAATTTTTTTTTCAAAATACCAAACAGATCATGCATTTTAGCTATGCTCTATTCCAGCCCTGTCTTCACAAGGGCTGGTTTTGGGGCAAATGAGCTGCAGCTGACCACGCCCCCCTGCAAAGGAGCGGGGCGAGGCACGAGC